TCAGATATAAGGATATATATATATATATATATATATATATATAACAGGAAGTGTTACTCCAATTAATCACCATCTGATTTAATCAGTTAACAGCTCATTTCCACTGAACATTACGTTACAAGTCACGCATCGATCACTAATTTCAAACTTCATCCTTGAACTCAAATTATCATCACTTTCTCTTTGAGGTATGTTCACATTATCTAGCAACGAATCCCCATTCGACCTAGAAAATAATTTGTTTTAAAACAATCCTCGAGTTAGATATTGCCGATCTGATAATCAAACATTTCATACGTGAGTGACGTGATTATGCATCGGATCTCCAATCTACTGCAGCTACTGACTGTCCTGCTTGCAGTTCAATAGACTCGATATTCTTTTTGTCCCAACGACCTTCACTCATACACGGCGCATCTGTGAGTCAAACATTCGAATCCGTCTTGTTAACGTTCGTGTGTGTGCGCGTGTGTGCGCGTGCCATTTATTAGCAAACAAGTTCTTCTAGCGTTTCCGTTTTTCAGAACTGTTGGATCCTGACGAATTCTACGTTGATCTACGGCCAATTATGTGTGGGTAAGTTTAACGTATCTTATCGGTTTTGATTGATTGACAATCTACCACGTCTCACGTGACTTTGTCTGATTGAGCCACCATTCTCAAAGTGAAGTCAAGTCTATCAATATATATATATAACACAGAGAAATAGTTACAACCAGTGTGTGTTGAAAATCTTCTGACTACTTTTAAAGAAACGATTGTCTTTTAGGTCTGGAAGCATTAAAAAAGAACAAACAAGTAGTCGAAAGTAAACTTTTTCTTAACATGTTTGAATCAGTAACAGTTTAGGGGCAGGATAAAGCCAAAGTATTTCACAAAGTCACCTTTAGAAATTCAGGGGGTTGTTGACAACGAATTCGGGCCTTTGACTACCGAGAGGCTGAGAATGCGAGTGTAGTAACTGTAGTAATGGTAATAGTAGTGTGCAATAAACACGGAATACGAATCACTGATCAGCAAGCACGGACGCCACGTAAGCACTGGATCACACTGATACTTGCACGCACCCACCTAACCGAGATGTAAGGAAAAGGCCACAGGATTAGTAGTTCGTTTATTAAAAAAGAAATACGAGGGATTGAACAATATGTACAAAACAAGCTCATTGGTCATTCGGGCCTCTGCCAATCACGTGCTAGTATTTTTACCGTTGTTCAGTTTCTGTTTGGGTCGCACGGTTCCTGATGGGCTGGTACGATCGATCTATGGAATTTGGTCCAGAATCTGACACGCATGCGCTTTGCTGACGTCATCCGGGAAGTTTGATTGATCACAGTTGTCCTAAACCTGTAACATGTCGCTCCAGGATATGCGTCATCTCGCAGGCTGGGATCACCACAGCGAGCCTGTTTGCTGACTGAAAAGAACATTTAAGCATTTATTAGCGTTCACTACAAATTACCGGGGCACGGCCTAGAAGTAGAGTTATATTTTAAAGGTAATGTCGAGACCGGCGGGGAACAATTCAGTTATCACGTCACATACATGACTGAACGCTACTAAGTTCCTCGATAAATAAATACTTGCATGTAACAGAGCACAATGAACAAGCCTTGCACACCGAAAGTCACAAGATTATCTTTCAGGGAACAGAAACACTAACTGATACTTTCGTTCAAATCTGAAAGACTTTGATTGCGGGCATCATAGTCAGTTCAGTTTGTATAATCATTAATCATGCATTATCCTGCGCCGGTTTGGTTGCTGTCTTTTGGCTTTCCATTTAGATGAACAGCAGGAGAAAGACAGGAAAGTTAAAAGGAACATCAACGAGAACATTTGGAATTCCAGTGGGCTAATGTTTCTGAGAAATTAACAAGAGACACAAACGCCACTGTTTACGATACTCAACCATATCACTCGGTGTCTCTAACCATCGGTTACGATCATCCCGGGGTCCCGAACAGGGGAGTCTAACGGGACCTATGTGACCTGGACTCCTAGTTAGGGTTTTCATACCCTCATGCCAGGTCCTAGCTTGATCACCCTTGATCTTTTTCCGCATAGTCAAGTAGTATTTGGGTAGTTGTGGTGATCCAACGCTTTGACATAACGCCATCCAAGAAGTTACGCCCATAAAGGCCAATAAGATCCGAATATTTTAGACCAATGAAATTGACCACCGCCCACTCGGGAATAAAATGCTCGAGAATAAGCAAAACTAATTCCTAACCCGTCTCTGGACCAATAAACTTTTCTTTTGCATATTATTTGGTCCTTTCAGTTCTTCCGGAATACAAACTGCTATTTCCATGAACTTGCCTCTCAGTATCGGGGACAGTCCGGTAGCTGATTACTTTTGGGATTACTGATATGAAAATATTGCGAGTATTTAAATAGGTAGGAAACTTAAACGAACCATTATCTAAAGATGAAGTCTAGCAAGTAATTGTCGTACTCCTCTGAACATCCCATAAATACGAAGGTAACTGTGATGATTAGAGCAAACCAGTTTGTCTCAAACAAAAAGGAAAAACACACAGAGGTCCAACTAGTCACTATTCAAAGGAATTGGTGGATAACAGATATTCAACAAGTTTTCTAAAAAAAATAAAACAAGTCCTAGAAGATCTGTAGAACTGGAAATAAAAAAAGACCGAATGGATCCAAACCAGTATCATGTCTTATCGCTGAAATACGTCAGAAGACATCCAACAAATATTGAAGCGTTTCAATATACAGGCAATAAACACTCTTCGTTCACTCTTGCTGCGACTTAAAAACAGACAACCATATTGCAGTACTGCTTGCATAAACTTGCTTCTGTTTGCGCTGTCTTCGATTGGCTGGCACGATCTGCCTATGGCATGTAGTCAGAAGCCGTTCGCGTGTCATTCACGTCAGCATTCGAATTTGATTGATTGCATGTGTCCGTAAACTGTGACGCGCCGCTTCAGGGTAGGCGTCATCTCGTAGGCCTGAATTACCACACACGTACATTTTCCAAACAATTCGACAACTAAAGACGCAGATAGCCGAACATGACAGAAAATCAGAACCCGCTGCAAGAAATGCATCGAAGCTTAGATCCCTCTTGAGGATTCAGCTATCATTCTACATTCCATTTCCGAGGGACAATATAGACTTCAGAAAACCAATTATTCTAAAACAAGGTTTCAGGTCATATAGAGAACGATTAATTATTCAGTCATTGTTCATCAAAAACGATCCACTTTGCGTCAATCAACCGGACGGGGCCCAATTATCATTTCACAGCTCTGCCAGTGAGTTTGCAATTGGCTTGATGCCAGTTGCATAACCAATTGCTCACACACCCTTGCATACTAACACAGCAATGAATCTCTCCACACCACAAAACTGCTCACAGACTAATCTCCTATATTCTACGATGTCATCCTTAGCTCTTTGATCTCCTGTTTCAATCACAAATTCCATGCTCTCTTTTATTACCACACACACATACACACACACCAACAACAACTCAATTTTTCCTCCCCTTAGACCAATCAAAAGCACCTCCAATTGATGCGGTTTCTCTCAATTTTTGTTTAATGCTCGCTTATCAATTGATTTGTAAAAGCCTTCCAAGAGGATCGAAACGTCGTCAGCCGAAAAATGTTTGTTGTTTGGTTTTCTCTCGTTGTGGCTAATCCCAATATGCCTATAAGGATCTAATACTATGAGCACGACGCACAATTCCTTCAAATTTGGATATGATACCGTGATCAAGCTGATGGCCTGAAAAACGCAGACAACATCATTAAAGGGATAAAGTGAGTAGATGTAAGCAACTTGAACTGAATCATGTGCAGTGAAACTGGGAGGCATCCGCCTCAACAAAATTCCTTCGAAAACTTTCAACAATGGTGAGGTGAAAACAACCGGGGGATAATTTAAAGAACCTTTTTGTTATTGAGTATAATGTGGGCAGACCTCGGGAAATAGGATATATTTATATAGAACACAAACAAATTAAATTGGACACAGGCATTGCATGAGCAGTTCGATACCTGCCTTGGTCAGAACGAGGGTTTGCTGAATCAACTCCTTTATCCTTCTTGTTTTCGAGGTTATTCAGTCCATCCAGAACGCTCATCTCGAAAGCAAACTGGCTTCATCCATACAAGTTGGTAACTTAGATCTACGTGGGGTTAATAGCTCCCACATGTGGCACAGAGCTATCTATATCAGTGTCTAACATATGTTCACCGCAGTTTTCGGGGTTACCGAGAGTTTCGATACGCATCTGATTAAGGTATTTGATCTTTTTCTTTGATCTGAAATGGAAATTGTTGTGTCAGTCCTATTGGTCTTCGTTCTATCCCAGTGAAGGCGCTCTATTTGGGGCGATGAACGCAATGGAATTATCGAAATACACGTACTTTCTTGATGGTTTGTAACAAGTTGTTAACACTTTGGTCATTCATGTCTGTAACTTTTTAATCCAATAGTTCTTACTAAGTTCAGAAAAGCATAAGTCAGAAGGCACTCAGGTACATAGAGAGCAGACTGTACAATGAAACCGTTATTGTAAGCTGTTATCAAAAGCTCCGTAACCAGTATATTTCTACTTAAGGAAATTTCAGTATATATATATATATATATAGTCTTCCACTCATTAGAATTGAGAGAAAGTTATAGTATTTTATTGATATCATTAGTATTACGTGAGTCTACAAAGCGAGAATCGTCACATTAACCAGTCAAGTCTAGAATATCAGTCATTATTGTATCCATATTTTTTGTACAACCGTCTAGAATATTCCGATCACTTCTAAAACTATGCTCAAATCGACTTTCTCCCAAAATCATTAAATTTCGGGGCAACCAGTCTGAGTTTCTCTCTTTGGTCCCGGACAGTACATATTTGTTTGTGAATATTTCAAATCGCATATAGCTGGACACGTGACCCGATTGAGAATGGTCTCATCTATGAGGGAGTGAATCAAAGCATTCTGGATTCCTATTCCCGAACACACATGATGCAAGCAATTCAAGTCCACCGTGAGTTTCATCCGTTCGCGCGGCTTTATATCTCACATTGAATTGCAGCTCCTCATGATGAGACATGCTATTGGGTGCGCATTCGTTGTATGGGAGCAAGTGCGGCACAATCGATTTGCTTACAATCTTTGGATGCTCTGCTTCAAGTGGAACATGAGCCAAGTAGGTCAGCTAATGGCTTTCTCTGTCTCTCTTTGTGTGTAATATTTATTTTGCTGACTGACATGATCGGCGGCTTTCCGCTTCCAGAAGGAGATACTTATGCTCATTTTCGAGATCCATCAGTCTGATTGTACCTTATATTTCCTCTGGTTCTCTTCTGAAGAAACTTTGATCGATATTAGTTAGCACAAACAAACTGTAGTAATTGAAGTAATAGTAGTAGTAGCACGCAATGAACGCGAAATATGAATCATGGAGTACGAATCACAGAATACGGACCACTGGTTAACAATCACGGACGTCACGTAGGCAATGAATCACACCGGCATTTGCAGGCAATATCCCACGTAACCAAGATGAAAGGAAAACGCCTCAGGAGTAGTAGTTTGTTTATCGAAAGAAATAAGGGGGATTAAATAATATGTACAAAACAAGCTCATTGGTCATTCGGGCCTCTGCCAATCACATGCTAGTATTTCTGGTGTTGTTTAGCATCTGTCTGGGTCGTACGGTTCCTGATGGGCTGGTACGATCGACCTATGGTGTGTAGGCCAAAAGCGCGCTTTGCTGATGTCACCCGTGAAGCCTGATTGATCACAGTTGTCCTAAACCTGTAACATGTCTCCCCAGGGTATGCGTCATCTCGTAGGCAGGAGTCAGCACACAAACACACGCAAAGACATGTGCACAAACCGAAGAAAACTAGTGGAAAACTTGTTGTGAGTTTACTGTCTCCTTACTCAACTCTGTGCAAATCCGTAGGCATAGAAAGTAGTGGACACATACCATGCGAGGTGCAACTGCGGTCCAAATGCTTTCCTGCATAGCTGACCTAGAAAACAAATTCATTTATCTCGTACGCGTAATACAGCAGAGGCAAAAATTTGGGATTGGGTGTGTTTAAGTCTCGTGAATTCTGGTAGAAGAATTGTCGCACTTTGTTTGGTTACAGCGTGAATAACGCCAGAGTAGTCGATCAGTCGCCTTTTCTTGTCTGTGTGCTGTAATCTAGAGATGACTTTCTAAAATACTAATAGATTCAGATTGTTGTTGTATAGTATGTATTTTTAACAATTGAGTCAATTGAACTTGCTAGACCATTGTCATAGGGTGTTTTATAATTGGGAAACAGAATTTATTGATGGAATTACGTTGTTTCGTTGAGTTTCCTAATCAATGTGCTCGACGTGTGCTCCAAAACTTGTTAAATCAGGCCCCGGTCTATGTTGTTTGAGTAGGTATCACCGCAACTGCGAATGAGCTGCCAGGTAACATGGCAGACAAAGTTTATCTTTAGAGTGGTTGTATAACCGTGGTGCGCACCTAGTCCATTTGGTCTTTTTTGGTCGTTTAAGAACCGAATGTAAACTGGAATTGCACTAGAATACGGAATGTGCTGTGTTGTTGCCCACGTTTATTGTTATGTCAAACGATCCCCCCGGTTACTACCGTTACTTTTACATTTTGGATAGAATGAGTTGACCTTCTGAATATCTTCGGGGAGAAATTTCCCTATGCGGCGAATGAGATCGGCCAGGTTGATGCACGTGACTATACAGTCATTGTTCTACGCTCAGACGCCATAGATGCCAACGTGATCCACATCTGAATTCGCCCTACTCGCTTATTTTTCAAGTGATCCCCGCGGTTACTAGACCTGCTACGATTCTGTGGACTAAGTGGATTGACCGGAAGTTGAGAATTTAATACGATGCGAGTGGAACACAAACCAACCTCTCTTATGACAAAGACCCAATAGACACACAGAAGATACAATATTTGGTTGTGTTCCGTGAATTAGACCGTGATGAATGAGAATGACTGCAAACTAAACAAAAGGGAGTGTAAAATTGTTTGGTAAAAGACTTCGGGTAGATATCAGTGATAAGGTGCAAGTGTGACCACATAAATGATGTGTATATAAATAGGAGGGGCTCGAAATGAGCACGATTGTGTGATCAATGAAAGGGGGAAGAACAAGAACCCGTTGCATCAACTTCCGTAGGAGTACGGCCCAAGGGAAAAGTTCAAGTTCTAGCATCAAGCTGGTCCCACTCGCATCAGGATGCTTAAGAACACATTGAAATTCATTGCAGCTAGAAACAAAATGGTGAGCTTCTTCTTAAGACCTCCCACCTGAAAATTGATACTTATTTTATTCGGTTTTTGTTTTAACTTGAATTGTGAGTGTTGCGTGGTTCCATTAGCTTGGGGTTTGAGTGAACTGTGGATATGCTAAATGCATTCCGGCTTTTAGTAAATCCAATGAAAGTAAGAGATCTATGCTTTTCATGGTCGGTTTGAAAACCGGTTTGTTTTTATTCGCCCCGTAGGAATATTTTCTGCATCAAGATGTTACAGGTACTTCAATCCCTCTTTTGTTAGTTCAATTGTGCTCAGTTTGGTGTATTGGAATTTGACGTCAGTTTCTTAGTTCGTCCAGTTTCTTGTACTGGTCAGCATCAATGCGAAAATAGAATAAAGAAAGGTTTGAGAGACTTGAATGTCTCAATGAAGTCACCGAGCCACCTTCATCTCTCTAGTAAGAACAGGTTAAGTCTGGTCTTCTTTCGTGGAACAACTCTCTGGTTCATCAAAATCTCCTTGTCAAACACCTGCAAATCATTTCTAGCATTTTCGTGTCCCTGACTAAAAATGACCTCCAAGATTAAGCGCAGTATTTTAGATGTGATTGGACAAAGGCTTAGTACATTGGTAGGAGGATCCCAGTCTCTTGGACCCTATTGTCCACTGAGGTTAGAATAGAGCTCCAGGTGTGTTCTTCAGNGAGAAGGTGGGGGGGGGGGAGAGTCAGATTTTATACATAAGCCTAGTGTAATGATTGTAGTAATCGTAGTCGTACGCACGGACTTCGGAATGCAGACCACGCAATAGGAATCATGGGACACGAATCAATAATCAGCTATCACGGACTGGATCACAGAAGCACTGGACCGCAATGGCACGGGTTCGCAATGTCCCACGAGAAAGAGACGCGAGGAAAAGGCCACGAGAATGGTAGTAAGCGGTAGTTCATTTATTGAAAGAAATGAAGGTGATTAAATATGTACAAAGAGAGATTATTCGCTATCTGGGCTTCCACCAATGGGCTGCAGTACTGCTTGCATAATCTTGCTTCTGTCTGCACTGTCTTCGATTGGCTGGTACCATCCACCAAAGACGTGTATTCAGAAGCCATGCAGGTGTCATTGACGTCAGCATTCAAACTTGATGGATCGTAAATGTCCTGAAACTGTAACGCGCCGCTCCAGGGTAGGCGCCATCGCATAGGCCTGGATCACCGCACCTAGGTCTAGGGTTGTAGGCGTTGAGGCAATCTTTGCGTGTTTACCGTGTGGCTCATTGAATTTTTTTATCACAAATGCCCCCCCCGCCACTACCAGTGAGATTCTGGTACTTTTCGGCGCTCACTTGTAGGTCCAACAAAACCGACTATCGAAGGATTTCATTCAGTTCCCTTTGAAGTGACCCACTGGAGCTGATCCAATGATCTTCACGTAGTCTGCAAAGGCTTCCCAGGTCCCAACTGAGATCATCGACTCAGAGCAAGAATACGATAGAGCATGGAAAAGATGCATGCGGTGCCCCACAACGCGCTCTTCCCCACCGTGACCTATGGTCATCCATCCTTACCTGAAAGATCATACCTGGTGAACAAAAACCAATCCAAACTATCGCCATCAGAACGGTAGTATTCATCGCACAGTATAGCGCAAATGGGGAGTACCTGTGTGAAGAAGTTTATCATCGTTCGTCAACTCCTATCAGCACCACTGTTAGCTGTTTGGCACGACACACTCTCTCTCACACACACGTACGTCTTCCCTGAGAGAGGTTTGAAAATCCACCCTCGTACGGTCTGGTGAATGAGAACTCCTGATGAGCTCTAACAAGAATAAAACTCAAGGCTTCAGCAACTCTCGGATGTATGGTTGATTGCATGAGCTGAGGTTGTGCGTGAAGATGAAGTATGAAGTTTTTACACTGAACTGCCTTCGAATTTACTATCGAACTTCGGTTAACTATCCGATGCTCATGTTCCGTGTGGGCTTCCTATTCAGTAAAACCTGCAGCTGACCAGTTCGGGTTAGTGTGGTGCACAAACAGAAATTTTTGTTCTCTGGCCTGCTAACTGATAAATAGTGCGTTGGAAAGTTTATCAAGAGCGCTCTCAGTTTGACCATTTGGTTTTGGCTGCTAGATAGGGGAGTGAATGCATAAATACAGATGAAAATCTTCAAACGGTTTGTAGAAGAATCGATACCCATTGTAATACTGTAGTAAATTCAGGAAGATTTGTGAACGAGAAAAAACTTGCAATTTTTCCATAGTTCAACACATTATTAGAATTTATTTCTTTAATAAAATACACAAGAAATTTATTCTTCAAAGTTGGGCTGGAATGAGCGTAGAGTTGAATATTATGTATCAAATCGATCGTTTCATAAAAAAATGCCGGGGGGGGGGAATGAAACATATTTTAGGTTTTCTCATTTCGAAACCTTCACGGCCGAAAACACATCCAGCCCGTGGCCAGTCAGCAGGGAATCAAACGAACCATGTAGAGATCAGAGCAGGCGGCTTTACTGAATGGATGATGCGTCACGTGACGATGATAGCTTGAACGAAAAGGTCAAAGATTAATCAATAGAAATGGATTGACGGATGCGTATGTGATGTGTACACTCAATCATGCATTTGGTTGTGTGTGCCAGAGAACGAAAACACAGCACCCGGACAGTTTAGCATTGTCAAGTATCAAATTAAGTGATGGCGTGATTTATTTCCGCATCACAGCTGATATTTACTAAAACGTAATGTAATCAAACGTCACCGAGTCCACCTAATATGTATGTCGTAGATCAGAAACCACTGATAGCTAACCCTGGTTGATGCCATAACAATCAGTCGGTTACGACCTATCCTGTACCATCAAAAAGAACTATCTTTCATTTACCCCCAGCCCTACTTTAGTCCGTTAGTGATTGTTGTCAAAGTAGATGTTGAAATATAATCGTAGAGATATACCGTGTTCTGTGCCGTCTCTTGCGATAATTGTCATTAAATTGTGTAACAAGAAAGGTGGCTGTAAAAATACAATAAATAAAGTGGCAATAACCGTAAGAACTGGACCAATGGACCCCGATTATCAGTTTCTTGGTCAGTCTGTGTGGCTAAGTAACTTCCACAGGAATGAGTCTGAATATTTCAATTTGGTGGAGTAAGAAACCTACCATGGAAAAGATGCCAACCAGTAAGTGGCACAGCTTGGTGTCGTATTAGACCAGTCCGGTCGAGTTTCACCGAACTTTCGGACGTTTTGTGGCCATATGTTTCTTTGCTTATCCGTGTGTTTTCCCCATCTGACTTTATTGTTCCTCAGTTATTTTTCCCGGTTTACTTAAGCAGAATTTCAAAGTCTTACTCCGCGGTCTAACTATTATTAGCCGTGTGTCTTCTATTCCTATCAATGAATTATCTGTAAAGCTTTCAGAATGTCATATAACTTCCTGTGTGAAATTTGCGAAGTGGATTCTCACAGATCTTGACCACCCATTACATGTAGAACTGACACTGTCGTTCCCATCCCTCCACACGCTCCCGATTCCGCCAAGTTTCCTATCAACTAAAGAATACCGAAATTTACCTATACACTATCTTGCACGTTTACTCGCAAACAAAGAGAGGGTAATCAGTGGACTTTGTCTTAACCTTGTATTATGAAATTTCCCCTTGTCTGTAAATATTTTCTCACCGTTGAATGTAGACTTTGTGATGGTTGGCATGTATGGTTTTTAACTGAAATGTATATCTTCAGTGCTTGCTATAGTTATACAAAA